CTATTTAATTTTCTACATTCACTTAAGTATAAAATATTTTTTAAGAAAATCTTGCAGGCATTTTCTCATTTTGTAAATATTGGAGTTTATCTAGAATAATAGTGGTGTTTGCATTATATCACCAGCTGCGAAGATTGAGTATGATTCATATTTTTCTGTTTGAAGTGATTAATATATAGTTTCTATCTTTATGTTATGGTTTCATCAGTTCAGCATCAAATAATTCTTCTATACATCCTTCCTCATTTGCTTTTGTCACGCGTTTTAACTGGAAAAAAGACACTGATGTCAAAATAGTTTGTTTAGCGTGAAAGATTAGAGCCAAATAGGGTTGCAAATGATTTTATTGATGTAAAATCAACATCAATCATTTTATATCAAAATATTTACAACCCCATTTTGTTTTCGATCTTTTCCACATTGTAATAAGAGAAAGAAATGGAATCCATAGTTTGTTTAGCTTTGGGTTCATCTAATAAGTTTTTCTAATCGTTTTTTAAGAATTTTGAATTATATGCATTTATTAGCACACCACAATATCTTGTAGTTTTCAGTTTTTACAGAGCCGGCGTGTATCAATTCGATATTGTTTTGTGGGCTATTTTGTCGTAATTCATAGAATTTCGTAAAGTTAAAACGTACGATGTTCGAGTGGGTTTTTTTAAAACACTGTTTTAACACATTTATTTGGTTCGGTTATCAGGAACCTTTATTACACACTTAATATGGAAAATGAACAAACTAACGTAGGTTTGACCTATAGAGTAGATTGTTAGACTGTTAATGAGCTAGAAAATGTATGAGCTTATATACTAATTAGAAGTGTCATCTGTCATGGCCGGTGGTGTGATCCATAGGTGATCTTTAGGATAAAAGACGTTCTCATCTTCAAACAATTACAGGGCAAAGGGGTGCGGGAGATGTCTTCAACTCTTTTAATTCTTTGCTAGCTTCTTTGTCCTCCTGGGGTTGATTGTCTTCAATAATATCACGAGCTAGAGGGTGGTGATGGTGGCGTGAGATGAGATACGAAGACCAACTGCAGTAAATGGACGGGAGTTTTTTCGATCTTCTGCAGCAGTGTGGTCATTTCTCTGTGGTCTTGAGAGTAATTGTTAAGTTTTAGAAGCACTTCTTGTGGAATCTCTAGGGTACTAGTTCTAAATTGGATTTCTTCTTTCTTGATTATTGTAGTTTTCTTTTCATTTGCATTCCATTCGTTTGCAGTGGTCATTAATGAGGTTCCGTTTTGTAGTATCTTAAATTCTCCGTAATGTTGTACATAGATGTCTAGAGACTTGAAGAAATCTGTGGCATTTGTCTTAATTTGTTTAGTGCAGTGGTATTGGTGGTTATTTACGATAGTACAATTGCTATACCTTAGGGTGAAGGATTTTATAAGGATAAGGTTTTATCAAGGGATGAATTTTGTTTAATTTGAATTAGATGGGTTTTATGGTAGGAAAGCTAATTATACATAGCATAGTACCATTTAACAAAATAATTGTTTCTTGATTGAATTTCAATCAATTTAACAGTTTTTCTTTAGATAGAAATGATTTCATAATTTGCAATATTTTCGCGGGCAACAGTGAATGATTTGCAAATAGTTCAATTTGTAATATATCAATTTCTTTTTGAAGAGTACCTGTAATAGCATGAAACACATGAATGACTCATCAAAATTTTCTTCAACATTATTAATTAAACTTATATAGACATTAGAGATGTGATGAGCAAATGGTATTTTGTTTTTTATGATAATGTAAAGTTAAGAGAGTAAGTAAAGTAAATGGGAAAATACGACGGTACTGCCGAAATTTTCGAATAAAAGTTAATGTTCTTTACTAGCCTAGGCTTGTGCTAGGTTGAGAAGAAGGGTGATCAGGAATGTTTTCGTCACCCTACAGCAAAACGTCTTTTCTTACCCTTCTAATGTTACGAAATGGTATTTTTATAATTTTTATTTGTCCTGCCAATATTTCTTCAATTCTGTCATCATTTTGGTCAATTTTGGCCATTCTTTGAAATTTAGAGGCCATTTTGGATTTTTCCGCAGTTTTGGTGTAAATTTCTCTGGGTGGCATAAGAATAAGGTCGCTTTGTTGGTTAATTTTATCTAGTGCTTTCTGGTTTTTTTCTAAATTTCGATTTTTTACTTTTTTGTACAATGCGGATAGTTCTTTGATTCTATTGTTTATGCAGTTACATGGGTTGTTGAACTCTGGGAGTTCCAAGTGTGTCATGTCTTTATAAGGTCCATGTATTATTTCGAATGGCCCAAATCTAGTGGTGGATTGAATCAAATTGCTGTACATAAAAATGGATTGTATCATTAAATTTGGAATTATCTCTTCGGGATTAGTTTACAAAAGTCGTTGAGATGGGGGTTGTAAAATTTTGCGTAAGAAGTTATGGTGGTTAATAAAATGTCTTAATTTGTTAACTATAGAAATACCGTTTTTATCTGTTATATGATAAGCTTACGCATATTTACTGAATTGGTCGAAAAATTTCAAAAATGTATTTTCATTCGTAAATAAGTCCATCATTATTATTTCAAAAGGTTTTAAAAACACCATGGATCCTTTATATGGGGTTTCTCTCCTATTTTGATTTTAAACACAAGTCATTTTTATTGATATAAAACGTGATTAATTTCTTTAAATTTGGCTATTAATATTTTGTTTTGAAATGGGAGTAAGTTTCTTCGATACCATTATGATTAGTTGATTAGTATCATGATAGTTTGATATTAGTTCCAGGGCCTTTTCTCTATTCGGTATATTTTTGTTTCACAAAAAAAATACTTATTATTATTCAAGCATGTAATAGTCAATTACTCCAAACATACACATATAAGGACCAAAAATGTTAATTATTAAACATTAATAATTAAAAGAAAAACGTATTACATTTAAAATGGTTAATAACTTAAAGTTAGTAAATAGTCCGTCAAATGTAATTTAAGATTATTTGTAAAGAATTAAAAAAGGGGTACCCAAAAATTAGATACAGATTACGGAATGAAGAAAGTTTGACTATAAAATATCATCCCTTTTAAAAATAGTAATATAAACTTCAACCTTCAGGTGCTCTCACAAGTAGCAAATATTCACTAACAGTTATATTTTCTTGTTTCCTGATTCTGTTTTTAAAAACTTATTTCAAATATAAAATACAAAATGGATTTCCTTTTGTATTTTAAATGCTAAACGCAAAATACGTATTTTCAAAATATTTTTTCAAACAGAATACTTTTTTGTAATACCTATTTAATTTTCTACATTCACTTAAGTATAAAATATTTTTTAAGAAAATCTTGCAGGCATTTNACACAAGTCATTTTTATTGATATAAAACGTGATTAATTTCTTTAAATTTGGCTATTAATATTTTGTTTTGAAATGGGAGTAAGTTTCTTCGATACCATTATGATTAGTTGATTAGTATCATGATAGTTTGATATTAGTTCCAGGGCCTTTTCTCTATTATATGAGGTTAAGTCCAGAAGGGTTTATGTGAACGTAACTGTATTATTTTTTCCTGATAATACTTCATATAATGTCTGGTGTTGGAAAACGTCGTTACTTTTGTTATCAATATGAATTCCAACTTGAAGGGTAGTTTAAATGGTGTGTTAGTCAATTGATGTTTCAGCTAAAAAAGAGTTTGTTCGCTTTCTAAAGTAATGTTAACTCTGAATCCACCGGTTGGTAATGTTTTTGTGGTAAGTTTTCGTTTTCCTAATTTAAACGTGATTTGTAAAGGGAAAACCTGAAGGGCTCTTCTAATAATTTCATTGTAGGTACACGGTCTTCTAGATTGGAGTGTACGGTGACTAAATCGTCATTGTCAATAATGGATTCAACTAATTCGGATAGTTGTGTCAGAAGTTCTTCGGCTTCTTCGGGAGATAAAAAGTCTAAGTCATGATCTGAACGGGAGTTGGCAAATAATGAATCTATATCAAAATCGTAGTCTTCCTCGAGAGCGTTTTTGTTGCTCGAGAAAGTGCGTCTGCAACGTGATTTTCTTTACCTTTAATATATTTAATTTCAAAATTATATTCAGAAAGTTTAATTTCCCAGCGGGCTAATCGACTTTGAGGTTTTGCAACCAAACTAGGGGCATGTGATCTATTAAAAAGGTGAATTTCCTACCGTAGATGTAGGACCTGAAATGTTTACAAGATTCTATTACAGCTAACAATTCCTCTTCTGTAGTACTGCAATTTCTTTCAGACGTATTAAGGGAACGAGAGTAAAAAGCGATGGGGTGTCCTTCTTTGGTAATAACTGAATCTATCGCTTTATCACTAGCGTCAATGGTAATAGAAAAATGTTTGGATATGCTAAAACAAGGGCGTTAGTAATTAATTCTTTAATTTTGTCAACAGCTTCTAAATATGATGGGTTTTTAACATTAACTGATGTATTTTCCATTAAACATCTAGTAAAGGGGATGCCAGTTTTAGAATTTTCGGTAATAGCCGCTAGCATTACTGGCTAGTGAGATAAAACATCCAAAAGTTTTTTTTATTTCAAAAGTTACTGAGCAGCATGGCCTAGTGGTTTACACCATTGCTTAGCATTCGAGAGGACGTCGATTCGATTCCGGGTCCGTCTGCCTTGGTCCAAGTTTTTTTGTGGTTTCCTTGGATCACTTAGGCGAATTCTGGGGCAGTAATATTCCACAGATAAATCATTCATATTCTTCTGTCTTCATTTCGTCAGTCTCATCTTTCTCAGCCGAACCACCATCCACCCATTCCCACGATTCCTGAAAGGAAGGTGAAGAGGGCCTTCCGCCCTACCTTCCGGAGTAGTCTGGAGGGACTGCCTGCCCACCAGCATTAGTGGTTGGTGGGAATGAAACTCCTAAAGTTTTTTTTTTATTTCAAAAGTTAGTTTTGCTGAGTTCTTTTATTCCAGTTATTTAGTAAGTTTATGCATACATTGTTATAATCGTTATTGTTATTTTTTGTCGTTGTCTTGTTCCTGTTATTGAAAATAATCTCTTTATCTTCTCCTGTGATTATTAAAAGTCATAAAATGAATTCTGTGTGTTTTCTTTTTAGTTCACCACGCCATGTTTGTGCAGTACTAAAACAAACCGAAAACACTATAATTGAATTAAATTATTTACAAAATTTTGTAATTTTATTTTTTTCTTCATTGTTCATGTGGTCTAATCTGAGTTGTTTAATTACATTGCAATTTAAATTGTCAATTGGGGCTTTGTCTCAATAAACGTATTTGTCAAGGGTATCTACATCCATAGGCTCATTGATGTGAATATTATTGAGACATTGCACATCAGCAAAACTGTTATCTACATAGTATATACCTGGTACAATTTGTTCGTGATAGAGAATAACACAAGATCATTTGTGTACATTGATTACACTGGGATTTTGCAAGTGATAATTTGTTAGAAGTTTATCTCTGGTCTCGTGAAAATGAATTTGTGCGTGTTCAGTAGTCAAAGTATATAATGACATAAAAATAGGTATTTTAATTTTGTGTTTGCATTTTAAATGCAAGTATTTCAAATAAATCACATCTCTGGGTTAAATTGCTTATTAGGTTAGAATTGGGTCAAATAAGGAGTATTTGAATGTAAGATAAAAATAGGTATTTTTTATTTTTTGTTTGCATTTTAAATGCAAGTATTTCAAATAAATCACATCTTTGGATTCAATTGCTTATTAGGTTAGAATTGGGTCAAATAAGGATTAGTTTAAGGGCACAGCTACTCCAAAAATTAAAATCCTAACATAATTGAATTTAAAAGCTATCATTCGTTTGGTTGTACATTAAGTAAAGACAACACGAACGAAATAAGTGTTGCAGCACTCCAGTCCTTTCTTAAAATGCATTAGCTTAAGCTGGGATTGAGTTAGGTTAGTTTAGGTTGCGTGATTCGGTAAGCATTTAGAGTTACAAATTGAAATTTCGTTAAAGTTTACGTCATTTACCCTTCAGTTGTAACCTCATGATGACGCTTGACGCTAGCGTTGAGCGTCAAATTATGGCTCCACCTAGCTGAAATTAGTAGAATCATGTCTGGCGTCAAACGTCAACGTCAATCTAAAAAAATTACCAGAGAAAAAATCGCAAGTCGATATCTCGATATATACTTAACTCTAACCTAATTTTTCTAAAAGCACGTGACAATTGTAAACAAAAAACTTATAACTACAATAAATATTAAACATTATAGAAAATTATTAAAATATTACATCAAACATAACTGACTAATCGAAATTTCGATGGCAGGCGATTATGATTATCAAATGTGGATTTATCAGTGCCAAAAAATAATTCATGAAGCTGAAATAAGGAAAAGAATCAGGCGCAAATGAATTATTAGTGCTTTGTTATGCAATGAATTAGTTATACAAAATGTAAAAATATTTCTGTTATAATTATTGTTTAGGTTTTAGGTAATATAACTCTTACATCTTCCAGAATTTCTAGATCTTCATAATCTTCAAAAAGTGCCATTTTCATAAAATAAATAATANGACTTCCTAGGTATCTAAAATCAGCCACTTCTTCTAATTTTTCGTCTCCTATCTTTATATTCGCTCTTTCCCTACTTTTTCTTCCCTTGCATACCAGTATTTTAGTTTTACTTTTATTTATTTTCATATAGCACTGTTTTGTCAATACCGCTTCCATTTTATTTAAAGCTATTACTAAGTCCTCCTTGCTATATGCTAATACTGCTATATCATCTGCAAATCTAAGCATACTAATCTTTTGCCCTTGCACATATATCCCTACAGTTGTACTGCGTTTAATGATGTTGATGGCGTCTTCGATCTATAGATTAAAAAGTAGCGGTGACAGTGTACATCCCTGTCTGACTCCCTTCCTAATATTTACTACTCTACGTTGCATCCTTAGCTCTATAACTGCCTATAATAAAATTAAGTTGTGGCGAAAAGTCAAGTTTATGGAAAACACGGAAAAAATAAATTTTCCTACAAATTAGACCTAGTTAGATCTATTTTTGGCACTCGTAAACTACTTTGTTTTCTTTGAAATTTTGCTCGTAGCTACTAAGACTCTAAGGTACAACCTTCGACCTAGGAATCAAGCTGCCCACTGAAGATGATTACCGAAGTGACAGTCGAAACGTTTGGGTCTACAAGTTCCTTTCGACTACGGCCCATCAACCCAGATTCACCTCTTTGTTCTTTATTTCGGACACGAAGACCTACGCCCTTACATTATTTCCTAGTTCATATGTTGATATTTTCCAAATTTTATTCTCTTATCGGTTCCTTATTTTAATCTAGCAACGTTTCGGACTTCCAGTTCTCCCTTAACAGTCCTAATAATTTCATTTCTAAAACACTAACACATAGCATTTAAGTATTTATTTTGTATAGTGTTTGTTCAGTATTTATTAAGTTTTAATTTAAAAGTACAATGATGAAGTCATAAACAAGTTCTGTTTGAGGATATGCGGATATTAGCGATGCAAGTGCCAAATGCAGAATCTGGAACAAAATTTTTGTGGAAACAGCTCACGACTACTATGTTAAAGAGTCACCCAATATCATTACACTTCCGCTTCCGTTTTGGCTTCCGCAACAATTTGCTTCAGTTTCCGTATCTGTTTCCGTTATGACACTTTCGCTGCATCAGTAAAAAACTAGTGTAGGTATATCAATTCAACAGTATGTAACGACTACCTTTTTTTTTGATAAATTACGGTCAAAACACCTGCCAAATTTAAAACTAAAATATTTTCTGTGAAACAAACATACCAAGTGTTTCAATCTTTTTACTTATTATATTATTTATCGAAATGTTTCACTATGTGCTATATTATATCTCTTTTAATAACACAGGTCTGCTATAAAACAGTTTTTTATATAAATTGTTGTATATAAGGACAATAAACAATAGTTAAGCAAAGATTGAATATAATAGACTTTGTAAAAAATGCTTATTAAGCTTACTTCAGAATGAAGTTGTGTCACCAAGATAAACGCTGGGTTACGATAAAATATGTAGTATATAAAAATGTCATCAATACGAGTTTGAAAGAATAAAGTATTGCTTCCACCACGTTACATTAAACTTGGTTTGATCAAACAGTTTGCAAAGGCATTTCGACTTGACCAACGGTGATTATTTCATGTTTAGATATCGAGGTCATGATCTATATAGGTTTTAAGCATATAAAAAAATCGTAAGGACACAAATTATTACTTTTTAAGAAAAAAGTCAATTCAAAAATCACGTTTNAAAGAAGAAAGTATTGCTTCCACCACGTTACATTAAACTTGGTTTGATCAAACAGTTTGCAAAGGCATTTCGACTTGACCAACGGTGATTATTTCATGTTTAGATATCGAGGTCATGATCTATATAGGTTTTAAGCATATAAAAAAATCGTAAGGACACACTTTTAAGAAAAAAGTAAATCAAAAATCACTTTTTTTTGTTTATTCTCGATCTATCCATGCTTTAATATTGTCGGAGGTATTTTTAACCAACACCATCGAAAAGAGCATAGTTAAAAACATAGAAACACTGGTTATTGAATATTTTTTCGTGTTCTCTGAGCATTTATGGATTAATGTAACGTGGTATAAACCATATGAATATCGTTTTCTATTACTTTTAAGACAATTACGACAAATATTAACAATTTAAGAAAAAAACTTTTCAAAAAAAATTTCGCAGACCTGTCTAATTAATTAACTAGCGTTTTGAATTTCAAAAATAAATCCGATTTTTACGTGATAACTGTTAATGTGTTTTTTATCGTTTTGTAGATTTTGGTGCTGTGTATGTATTCCATATTGTATGGAATCATGTCAAAGACATTATCATTATTGTCCAAATTGCAATGCTTTCTTGGGAGTATATGGCAACGATCGAATTTTTTAATAATAATATTTTCCTGTATTTTCTCTTGGATTTTTCAAATAAGAAAATGTGGTTGCTTAGTTGTAGTATTATAGGATAAAGGCTCTTAATGGAAACTGCAAGTTCTTCGAATGTGATGCATTGTGGTTACTTTTCGGTTAATATTTTCAATTTGTATGTACATATATCAAACAACGTAAAGTATAAAAAATATTTTTTATGAAACTGTATATTATTTTATTTTCGCCGGTGTACTGCAGTACCACATATATAATATGGTCACAAATAAAACTGGAAGGACCAGTGTATGTCTGATTAATAAGATGCTGTTAATCATGACTAAAGTTCGGATTATATGCAAAATGCATATAACATATATGCAAGCATATTTCCAGGATTTTTGAATAATGCAAATGCATTTAAAATAAATGCATATTTTGGTATAATTCGATATATTATCTGGATAAAAGCTACCCAAATCTATTATTTAACCTTTAAAAGTCTGTTACTTACCATTGCACTAATTGCTTTTTAATGACATTCTTGTTTCGTACCTGATACAAAATTGTTATTGGGAAAAAGTCGGTTGTCTGTAAAGTCGGTTTACTGACGATACTTGAACGTGACAACGTCATAAGAAAATACTGATGGAATGGTTTCATTTTTCAAAAGAAAATTTTAATTTTATTTGTTTGATAGATATTTTGTATGGATATAGAGAAGGAGGTAAATGGAAATGTATTATTGTATAGCAGCTGTCCACGCGGACGCATCGCTCACTCAAGTAGGAGAGAGACAGATGTCGAACGCTGCCGAACGCGGAGGC